AAAAAAAAGATAGTTTAACACGAATTGATTCTTCTAAGATGATTTGTAACCTTTCTTTTTTTTTTGCCTTTAGGTATAAAGATTGTTGTACAACCAGACCCTATGGCAGTATTATCTGGCCAGATAGTTAAGCTGTGCTGTTGGGCAACTGGGCACCCATTTGTGCATTATCAGTGGTTCAAACAGGAAAAAGAGGTAAAAAGTGGGTAGAAGAAATAAGTCGGCCAGCAGCATATCAGTATTTCTAACATTAAAGCAATGGAGTTCACCTTCTCTTTTCCAATGGCTTGAAGATATGCTTAAGACTCTTTTATTTGTTCTAGAAGTTTCCAAATTGGTAATCTTAAATGTCCCACTCTTTAATCTAGTCATAGAAATAATAGAGGATAAGTTATATTAAAGTTCTCTTATGTCTCATCAAAGTAGTTCAGTTGTCGGGGGTAATTCATTTTATGTGGCCATAAAATATGAGGACTCTAATCCTGCGAGAATGGTGTCAGCCACAAGCACCTGAGGATATCTTTTATTAAGAATTAGAGTAATTCCATTTTGCATGGAAGCAAAGGTCAGAATGTGCCTGTTGCTGTGGCACTAGGACCAGCTACAGTTTGCTATAACTGTAATTGTTACATTGGCACAGCTATGTCACAAATATCAGCAATGACCTAGGTGAGGGGTTGGCAACTTGCAGTATGCAGAACCATGGATTTTGGCTTGCAGATGTGTGTCTGGCTGCAGGCACTTGTCCCCATGTTGCCACAGGGGTGGGTCATTTTGGCCAGCAGCTGTAAGTTTTCTTACCCCTATCCTAGACTGAAAGCAGATAAAAATATATTTCAGTGGACTCTGAGTGGCATTCCCCAGGAAAATAATTTTGCCCTTCTGTACTTAGTTATCCTGGGGCATAGTTCTGCTTTGGTTTGGTTTGGTTTTGGTTTTTAATACACTCATATATGGTTTAACAGTGGTATAAAAGGCCATATTAAAAAGTCATTTTAGATCGTTGTTAGTCCTTGAGGGATGCATTGAATTAATTTGTCTCCATGTTTCTAAACTGAATGTAGTAATCTCTATTTGATCAACCCATGTATTATTTCTAAATCTCCTCTCGGCTGTGGATCCAAAAAATATAAATTATTTACATGTGTAGCCTTTTCCTGCCACTCAGAATTAATTCTAACAGTTTCCTGTACATAGCTGAGTAAATCTGCTTATGGTGATAACATGAGTGCTGGCTGGAATAATTCTTTGGGAATTGTTTCCAGTTATTTGTGGGAAGGATAAAGACTCTAAACTGAATTCCTGAAACAACCCATACTCAAGAAAAGTGGCTTTAGAAATTGCTGCACAGAGCAATGCCAATTTGCACTTGAACAAAAAATTACATTTAAGCCATTAAATGCCTTTTCAGGCTTTTCTCTTTTGACAGTTTCAGATGGTCTAAAGCAGTGGTTCTCAACCTTTTTCGTACCAGGACCCATTTGTAAACATTGATGTGCAGTCCTGACCCAGTGCCCTTCACTTCCGACCTGCTGCTACCCACTCCCAGACCCTAGACCCCTGGTGCGGCCCCAAGCAGCCCCTTGCAGGCTGGAACTCTGCAAGCCTGCAAGGGAAAACCTATGTTTTCCTACATTTTTCTCCTTTAAAGGAAAATCCATTTTTTAAGTTTGTTGATCCATTTTTAAAGTTTGTTCATGACCCTTTCGTGTATTCTTGTGACCTACTTTTGGGTCTCGACCCATGGGTTGAGAAACGCTGGTCTAAAGAACTGAGAGCAAGATTCAGTATTCCTGCCTGTGAGTAATAAATCCACGAATGTTTATTGTAAACTAGAATCAATCAATCAAAGTTAAGTTTTTTTCTGTGCCTCTCGTGACACAGGTTCCACGTGGGAATTCCCCTGAGCTGGTTTTTAATCCTGTGAATGCAAGTGATTCTGGGTTTTACATCTGTCGAGTGAACAGCGATGCTTCTTTTGCATTCAGTCGGTGGGCACAGCTGGATGTCTGTGATCTCCAAGGAGCATCTTATGGTGAGTTGCAAATGTTTTCCACTGTAGGCCCTTCTGTGCAGGTCTGGGGCTGGGAAAGGTGAGTGAGATTGGTTTGAGCGGCTTACAGTAAATACATCTCTAACAAATGCACGTCTTTTGTGAGTGTCCCTCTTTGGCTTGTCATATAACTTAATTAACTACAGTCCTTATGGGGCCATAACACTGTAAAGTAGTAAAGGGACACCTCGCGCTTTAGTGTTTTGTGCTGGCTAAATTGGGAAATTAGGAAGGAAAGTTGGCTCTGCAGAGCTCTTATAAGCAAGGTTTTCCATTTATCATCAACATTAGGTGGAAATGAATGGAGAACGGGCATAGCTTTGACTCCATCCAGTGTTTTAAAGAGGGCCTCTGATTAAGAAAATGAAGTTTCTAAACAACAGGAGGGTTTTTGAGGTGTGTGCGCACTTCCTGGGGACATAATCCCTTCTGGCTGCCTACTCCACTGTCTGACCTCCAAGGGAGGAGGAGCCAGTCAGAACTGGTCCCAGAGTCAAGTCTTTGCCCCTTTTGTGAGCAATAGATACAGCTTCTCTGCTCCTCCCCATCCTATCCAAGCAATGCTCAGTCAGAGGAGGGAGAAGGGCGCGAAGAATCTATGGAGCTTTCCTTTCCTGTTTCTGTCCTTCCTTCTCCTCTTCTCAGCCTAGAGGGAGTAAAAAGGCTCTTGTTCCACTTGGGTCTGGGAGATGAGGGTACCTGTGCCTGGAGCCTGTGCAGGGATCCCATGGAAGCTTCATGTATCTTGCAGAAGAAACAGTGATTTAATAGGTACTGGAAAATAAATATGCCCAAGGTTCCTGGAGGGTTTGTACTATGGTTAATGTGTGCTAGCAAAGCCCATGCTGCCACATTTTCACTGCCGCATGGTTTGATTAAGGCAGCAGGCCACAGCAGAAGCACTCACAGCACAGCCCTGTCAGATTCCAGTGAATCTGCAAATTCTGCTAAATACCTTGTCACAAGGACATGAAAAATAAAGGTTTAAGGCAGCATGGTACAGACTCCAGTCACACCTTGTCTTTTTTTTGTGGGTGTAGGTGTACCCACTGAGTTGCAAGCCTCTCTCTCTATTGCTCCACAGGCAGTACTGCCCCTTTGCCGTGGTTAAATTGTTAACTCATCAGCTAGCCCTAATGTATAATAAGGAAGTGCTATTTCAGCTAATAAGGAGTTCATTTAGATCAACTTTTTCCACATCCATTCTTTTAAGCCAAGAAAAAGCAGTAACACATCAGAAAAATCTTTTATGAGTAGATAGAATTTTTGTGTTTATATGTAAATGACTGGAGTAGTGACCTGTATTGGATAAGCTTTTGTGAGTGCAGAAAGAAAGAATTAAGTAGAAGGGAAGGAGAAAATTAATATTTTAAAAGAGCACTTCAGTAGCCTCGCTAGCACTGACGCAGCTGCTTAGAAGAATTAGTAGTGTACAGTAAATCTGCTATTTGTACTTTACTTCTGCCAACACCATGTATTACTTCTGGTTTCTAAGGTTACAAGCAGCAGTTTAATTTCTCTTAAGTGACTTGAAAGTTTATGAACTTTTTTTGCTGCCGTACTGACAGATGAGATGGAATGCAAGAAGTCAAAAAGCAGCAAAATGATCTTCAGTCAAAAAAAAAAAGAGTTTATTTTCCTGTACTTTGTAGCTCATCCAACATAGGTTTATAAGCTGTTACAGTAGCATTTTGCTTCAGGCAAGAGAAGAGTATAAGGATACTAACCTTTTGCTAAAATTGCGAGGACAACTGCTGTAGCAGTTTGAAATCTTTTGCATCAGAAATTTAAAAAATTACTCGGTTTTATATTATCAGAACAATAATCCTATCTTGCCCAATCAAATTTTATTCAGTGAATAGTAGCACTTCTAGAGCAATTGAAGTCTTAAATCATCCTGATCTTGTCATCATGTTCCCTGTGCTGACTGAATCATGAATGTTTTAAGACCACACAGAGAACGTATAAAGAATGTTTTATCTGATCTCACGATTAAAGGGCATTCGGGATGTATCTAGATATAAAGCACCACACCTCATCACTGACAACAAAGCATCTCTGCACTGCCAGTAATAACAACTATCTAATGCAATGGCGGGCAGTTATTTCGGGCGGAAGGCCATTTACCCAGTTTTGGCAAGCTGTCGAGGGCCGCATGGGTAGCCCCACCCCTTGACAGGTGCCCCACCCCCTGGTTACTGTCTTGGGACCAATGTCTCAATGTCTTGGGACCAATGCCTTAGGGCCAGCACCAGTGGGGCCCAGAGTGGGGCACAGGCTGGCAGGGGTCTGTGGAGCGGGGCTGGGCTGCACCAGCAGGGAGAGGAGGGAGCTGGCCTGGCTCTATGGAGCCCCTGCCGGCCGGGACCCTGTATGCCTGCCACCCTGCTCTGGGCCCTGCTGGCACTGGCCCCGGGACACTGGTGTGGGCCCTGTGCACCCACTCACTCCCAGTACCCCCCAGCCCTGCGGTACAGGTGGGGGGCAGCTTGCATCCCCGACCCCCTGCTTGCCGGCAAGGAAGGAGCTGGTGCTGAGTGTAGGGAAAAGCGGCCCCTCCCCTGCCTCGTGGCCGGCACTCCCTGCTGCAGCCACTCATAGCCTGCGCAGGGCTGTCCTGAGCAGGCACAGGCAGCCCCAGGGGGGTGTGAGGGGCTGCAGCGTGGGGCTCCAGCCATGGGGCAGGTGAGGGGCTGCTTTTATTTGCGCTTAGCACCAGCTTGTAACCCGCCCCTGTGCCAGATCCGGGGTCACCCGTTGGGGCTGTGCTGCAACGGCAGCAGCTGTGGCCCCCCCCCGCTTGCCGTGCCAGGCAGTGTTTGCCACCATTGCCTCTGGGCTGCCCAGCATGGGAGCTCCGGGTGGGCAGCAAACACTGCCCAGTGTAGCGAGTGGGGGGGCCGCAGCTGCTGCCACTGTGGTGCAGCCCCAACAGGCGAGCCCAGAGCTGGCGCTGGGCCCAGGCTGGCAGTGGGGTGGGTTACAAGCTGGTGCTGAGTGCGGGGGAAAAGCAACCCCCCTCCTGCCTTGTGGCCGGCGCCCTGCACTGCAGCCACTTGCAGCCCACATGGGGCTGCCTGTGTCTGCTCAGGACAGCCCTGCATGGGCTGCAAGTGGCTGTAGCAGGGAGTGCCAGCCACAGGGCGGGGGGAGGGGTCACTTTTTCCCGGGCTTTATCCCTGCCTGGAGTCCTCCCCTGCCCTTCCCTCCCCCCACCCCCTTACCTGAGGTTCCTGCGCTGAGGCAGCCACATGGTCCCAGGCCAGAAGCCCATGCTGGGTCTTCTGCTGGGGGTGGGCTGGGCCGGGTGGGCCTTGCTGTTGTGGGAGTCCACTGGGCTTCCCTGGGGTCCTACTGCCCCTGGTTCCTGTCATTTATTTACAGGAACCAAAGACAGATTAATATTAATTTTCTACATTTTTAGGGGCCCCCGGACCAGATAGAATGGCTGCGTGGGCCGGATCCAGCCTGCAGGCCATATTTGCCCACTTGTGGTCTAATTGGTCTTCCCCAATTGTGAACTCACTCACATTAACTTATAACAATTATGTTTAATGGAAGGCAGATGACAAGACTGAATACATCTACATAAAAATGTCTTAAGTTCTGTGTTTATATTATAATAGGTAAACAAGAAGAAAATAAAATGGGAAATAAATTAGTATGTTGACAATTAGGCTGAGCTGGACAAAATTTTGAGATGGGGCTATGCCATGAATTATTCCTCCTTTTTTTTGGAGTCCTTGATAAACCATCTACATGACATGGTAACCAGCCCATGGTTCTGAGCATTCATGTTAGTGAAGCCTCACAGCAAGCCCTGCTGGCATACATAATTGTAGTATTACTGTTTCTGCATTTGTCCATGTGTTTCTGATGGAATATCTGATGGTTCTTTGTGCTGAGATGCTCTAGGTTTGTTTTTCCCATACAGTTGTGAGAGAACATGTATGGCACTCGACTGTGAGAAGGGCACAAGAGAGCCATTAGGAGCGACCTTGCCTGCATCCTTGCTGCAGAGAGGTCAAGTTCTGTGCTAGCTAAAGTCGAACTCTGGCTTTAATTCATACTGCAACTGGACAAGCAAGGTCAGGATCAAAGTGCAAATAAGCATGTATTTGAAGATACTGTGTGTGTAGATGGTGGGATGGACAGGAGGTCGAACACCATATTCTTGCCAGGGAGCACTGGCTAAGATACCAGCATAGACAGTGTGTGACTTTCTCAGCTATTTCATTCCATTGAAATCTACCCACCATGCTTCTCAGCTCCTTCCCAGTTAAAACTGTAGTGAAGACAGAAAATGTGTCTAAGAAGAGGGAAGGAGAAAGCTAAGGTGAGGTGGGGGGAGGTATGTTTTTTGTCACATGTAAGCAGTAATGTAACTAGGGTGGGGTGTCTGGGGCAACAGCCTGAGGCACTGGCATGTGTGACCACACCGGCAGCATGGCAGCAGCTGGAAGTTTCTGCTGCCCTCACGAGTCCCTCTGCCCCAGGCACCCAGGTGGCTTGTTACACTTCTGGTTGTAAGGCTTAAGAGTCAGTAAACTGAGCACTTGGAGATGGGGAGAAATGGATCTAGGGATCCTTTCTAGCTAATTAGAAGAGCAACATTGCAGAATTCAAGGGATCTTCTTTCAGCTTCTTTATCTAATGCTATGTGTGTACATAGTGCATTACTCAGAATATAAACTGCTGAACTTAAACTTGCCAGCTGCAATTTTTTTTTGAAGTCAGTTGGAGCTGGACATCAAACTTCCTTAGGTCTGCTTAAAAAAATCACAGTTGCCAACATTAGATAAAAATGGCCTTCTACTTATCCCTAACCCTATTCCACTGGAGGCTAGAAAGTGCAAGCCTGGTACTGCTGCTGTTGTAAGCATGGGAAACTAATTAAATGCAAATAATGCAACCAAAGAAGAAAGTAGCAACTTCGAGATAGCCTGGGGGAGGGTGGGGGGATTTACTGTTCACCTGCTTCTTCTGTTGACTCATCAGGCAGGACACAAGTGACACTAACTCCTCTAACAGTTAATTCTTTGACTGGTTTGACAGGTTGTTTGACTGAGAATAGGATTCTTATAGCATTTCTGCAGCTGCAGTAATGAGGTGTGACATGAGCACGATAAGATTGTTTTACCCTGCATCATCTACCCAAAGAGAGAGAGGATTTAATCTGTATCAAGCTGAAGAATTTGCTAAAGTATAAACTTCTGTGAGGCCAAAGGTCTTTTTACCAACAAAAAAAAAAATGTAAAAAGCCAAAAGCTAGAAACTGGTATCAAAGAATACTGTTCTATGTTTTTTGGCTTTTTTGGTTCGGTTTCCTCATGAATGGGAGTGTAGCCAGGCAGTTCGTTACTAATCTTGGCCCCAGGTTGAAATTTGGATGTGTTTAGAGCTTCTCATTTGTTTTCAATGGCTGAATTTTTTTCTTTATGAAGCTCCAATGAGCCTTGCATGGAAATCTGCTAAACTACAGTAAGATGTGTAGAATGAGGGGAAAATCAGTCTTCCTCCACTGCGATTTAAGAGTTATATAGTGACAGACCTCATAGATAACTTATCACCAAGCAAGGAATTGGATGTGAGCAAGGGTTTCTCCAGCAGTTGTGCCCACCCAGTAGATTGAGACAATAGCTCTGAGTTTCATAAGTGACCTGGAAAGAAGCTATAATTTAGGTCTCCTTACCTCCTTTTTGCTTTTAGCAAGCAAAAATGGCTTGAAGATGTATGTATAGGTTAAAAGCTTTTGTATTGCATTTCAGAAATATCTATTCCTACATCCTCTGTTTTACTGGAGTTGTAAGTGGATCTGGAAGTTTTTCTCAGCCCCCTTGAACATGTATTAGGGGTGTGTGAAACGGGCCCTATTCAATTCGGATTCGCATTCAGGGACAGTGATTCGATCTGTTGATTCGGATCACCGTCCCCAATTTGATACTGCTGAATCCAAATCTGACGATTCGATAGACACAGGCACAGCTTTAAAAGATTTTTCTATGTACCTTGAGGTAGCAGGCGTGGTCCATGAACGCAGCAGTGCTGGGGCACATGGAGCGTCCCACAGCAGCATGCTCGGCAGCAAACCTGGAAGTGGACTGGAAGTACTTCCGGTCCATGTCTGCGTCTGCTGAGGAGCACACGAGTGGGCTCCCCCATGCCCTCCTGGACTGACAGTCAGCCACAGAGACCCTGGGTGCCTCCCCAGACCCAGAAGGCACCAGTTGCTAAGCCAGGGGATGGTGTGGGGGGGGTCCCCTGGCACATTTCCCAGTGGACCTGGAAGTGCTTCTGGTCCACTTTCAGGTCTGCTGCTGAGCATGCTGGGGAGTCACCCGCGCTCCTGTGGGACACTGCATCTGCCCCAGCACTGCAGCATTCAGAGCCCCTGCTACCTAGAGTTATGTAGAAAAAACATATAAAGCTGTATCTACGTCCGAATCACCGAATGTCTCCGAATCAAGTCGGAAGGTTCTGAATCAATTTGGAGAGATTAAAGAGTCCTCTGATTTGATTCGGATTTGGAGATTCAGGCACCGAATCGGGCTGAATCTCCGCTGAATTGAATCAGGGACTGAAGCTTCACACAGCCCTAATATGTATGTCAAGCATCTGAGAAACTAACAAAATCATAAAAGCAATCTAACTAGAAATATCTTCCCTGACAATTGTGCGGGATTCACCTCTTGTCAAAAAACAGAATTTCTACCTTGTGGGATATTCAAAGACTACAATGTGTTGTTTCATCCTAGATTTGGGAAAAAATCAAGTGACACTATAAAAAAGGCTGAATTGAAACATTTTGACCTTGAGTAAAATGAAATGTTTCATTAATTCCATATAAAAAAATGTAAGTGCTACATTCTCGTAAAACATTTCTGTTTTGTCCAGTCAATTATATCTAACGGGGCACTGCTTTGTTGGGAAATTTTTAAGGCAGCGGTGTTGTTTTTGTACCATTTGAAATCATAATTCTACGTGCTCTGTAATTATTCAGAGGTGTAACTGGTTTCTGTTTTAGGGCAGCAAAGAGTAGTTGCTGCTGCGAGGGAAGGTGTTAGCATGGCCAACAGCTGTGCGTTAACACAGTATCCATTGGGTATCTGAACCCTTTCTCACCCTCCTACTGCAGCCACTGCAATTCCCGTTCTGAGCAGCAGTGTGAAACACTGACTTCGATGGTGAGAAAAATGGCTGCGGAACATGCGAGAGGGCACCCAGAGGTGACAGGTTTTGCTTTCCTCTGACGATCACCTTTAAAGACTGAGGTTGGAGGGCCTGACTTAATACCTCAAACATGCAGCTTAGTCAGAGCTTCCATTTTTATTTTTTTCTCTCACCCTATTTCTGTGGGACTGTGACAGTGCTCAGGTACTTGTGTGCATTACAACCTGCTGTACGTGCTGATGCTCAGATATTGGGGAAAGGGGGAGTCAGGAACAAAGGGAGGCAAACATATTGCTGTCAGCCCTTAATCCTCATATCACTGATGTCATTGACAGGCCCAATGCCAACATACATAACTACATATTTTGGACCTTTAGTACCTACATGAGTGATTAATAGCCTAGCTGAAAGCTTTGTGCAATGTATACTTTCCAGGAAAGTCTGCACTTTATAGTAATGGTACCACACATGCTGTGCACGTTTTAAATTTTTTCAATGAAGCAACTACTGTGTGTATAGTAGGAATATTATAGGCTAAATATTGTAGTTTTTGCATTATTGCAGCTTAGTCCACTTGGGGATATGCATTAGTTATCTTTCAGAAATGCTGTCATGTCTAGCAGTTAGATGAAGAGGCAGTGACTTGGTTACCATAAAGCATGTTTGGTTGTATAGAAAATCTTTTCACTCTTTACATATATTAGGCATCATACTTCATTTTTAGAATTAGAGAAGCAGTGACTATCTGTAGGGGAGTAAGCAAGAGTAGTGATAGGACAGTTAATACATTCACACTCCTGAAGACAGGTCATGGGGCTACAGTGCAGTCTTCTACAGCCATGATTCTTAGTAGCTGTTGCTATCTAGTCAGCTCCATTGCAGGAATTAGTATTTTGAAGCTGGTGCAGACGATGTCCTGTAGTCCAGCTGACAGGTGTAAGTGGTACAAAACAGACTTGTGTACTCTTTTCTGGGTTAACTTCCATCCGTACACTTGGTGAAAGAAGGAGGGGAAAAAACCTGCTTACACAAAAATGGGAAATTTAATATTCATTGAAACTACTTTGTGCGTGTGTACACATGTACCACTTCAATTAAACTTATGATGACTAATTTTAGGAATGTACAGTAAGAATGTGAGCAGGAATTCATTTTATACGTCTTCCCAGAAAAGAACATTAAAATGTGTCATCTATGTACACTCATTTAAAAATGAGGCATCTCATTTCAGCTGTGGATGGAGTAATATATCCAGTGTATTATATAATTAGCCAGAAAGCTTTTCAAATGATCTGAAGGGCTGAAAGGCTTAAGCCTCACTAGATCCTTATTGTTGTTAGGCAGTAGCAGTGAACAGGATGAGTCTTCACTGCCTGGTCCAGAGGTTGCACTTCTTTCTCTTAAATCTTGCTCTTAGAGTGACAAGAGTAGGAATAACTGAGATTGAGTGCCATACACTCCATGGAGCTATCCCTCTCTAAATCATTTTGGAAACCGAAGATTTACTCTTAGTGTAATGGCACACAATGATTATGCATCTGGCAGTGAGCATGGGACCCAGAATCCTCATTGACTACCTTTTTAAGTTTCAGTTGTAGGTCACAATTTTGGCTTGGACTCAACCCTGTAAATATCTTAATACTTGGCCTGTGCGAAGAGGCTAGGATTCGCTTCAGATTTGGCCGATTTGGGGGACAGCGATTTGATTCGGTGATTCGAATCACTGTCCCAAATCTGTTTGGCCGAATCTCCGAATCATACAGGCCCATCTCCCGCCAGCTGTCCTAGCCTATCCCAGCCTCCTCTCCACCCCCATGACTGCCCCATGTGCCCCACCTCTGGCCCTTTAAGGAAAAGAAAAACAACCCTCCCCCCAGCTCACCAGTTCCTGCCCAGCAGGGGGGCGATCCCCGCTGCCCTGCACCATGTGGGGGGGCTCTTCCACAAGCCCCCCAAAGCCCTGAGGCTACTGCAGCAGCTGGTGAGTCCCAGGGATTTTTTTGGGTTTTTTTCTTAAAGGGCTGGAGCTGGCCCAGGCAGGGCAGCCATGCGGGGGGGCTGGGAGAGCAAGTGGGGTCAGGGGGCTCATACAGAGCCCCCCATGCAGTGGGGGGCAGCGGGGATCGCCCCCCCTACCAGGCATCAGCCACTGAGTTGGGGCTTTTTTTTAAAGCACCGGGAGCTGGGGTGAATGGGACAGCCATGGGGTGCCTAGGGGAGTGGGTGGGTGTTGGGGGGGCTGGCAGGGGTCTGACTGCACAGGTTGAGTGTGTGTTTAATATTCTGGCAGTGTAGGATTAGAGTCTTATGTTGAAATTGATTTCCTTTTCTTAACTTCATTGGTAGAATGCAGGGTCAGAGAAAGATGATATACAAGGAAGCAATGGAAAGCTCAGATTTGCCTCAAACAATCTTGGCTAAATTGTCTTTCTCCCTCTAATTTAAGGAAGCTGGGCCGGTTTGCCTGAAAACAAGATCCACATCTGCATTCATCCTCAGTCACAAAGCCTGACCGTGGGGGACACGTTGGTTTTAGAGTGTGGTGCTATTGGAAAACCAATTCCTCGTTACCAGTGGTTCAGAAATGGCGATCCACTGACAAACGGGAACAAAAAAGTGTACATGGTAAGTTATTTTGAGTGCTGTCCTTTGAAGCTAGTGCTACCAATTTCATAATGTCAAATTTCCTTAAGGGAAATAAGAATCATTGTCATCTTGAAATATCATCAAGGGTGTTTGTGTCCTTCAGTTTTCTGGTGTCCCCTTACTAATGTTTCATTACTGTGTAAGGTGCAGACTGCTACAGTGAGCTGAATTGCTAGGACATGTCTGGTATTAACTAGGTGAAGTTGTGGCAAAGATTTTCAATGTTGTGCATATCCTAGAATAGAGCAATATGATAATAGTACAGAAAGGTAGGGAGCTATGAATATAATGATGTACATGATGCATTTATTAATTACATTACTCATGGACTTCTGCAGAAGCTGTCCTCTCTATCCCATGCCTGATCGTGTTTGCCTATGGCAAATATTTTTCCAGATGCCTATGGGTCCTTAGTGTTCAACATTTAATGCAGCTCCAACCAGAAAGCTAGATTTCTAGTAAGATTCTTTGGCTTCAATCCAGCAGTGAGCTTTGCTCTGTCCCAGGGGTCTACTTACAGGAAGTCACTGTGGCATCACAGTCTTTTGCATCTAAAACCTTGTGATGGATATATGCACTTTTTTTTTCTCTCACTTGTTCTTGGTTTAACTGGTTCACAAGTATTTTTGTTGGGTGTGGGTTGGTGCATAATAGGTCTCTTGTGTGGACGTAGATCATCGAGGGACCTATTGGTGCCGTGTATTTAATGACCAAGACAATCAAGAAAGCAGGAAGATAGACGTTATAGTAGGTAAGAAATCTGTCAACTTCTTGTAGGCCACTTAGTTAAAACCAGGTGACTTATTAGAATCCCTACTGGAGGTTTCAAACTTCGGTGAGCCACTGAACCTCTCTGTACTTTGCTTTTACCCACTGGTAAAATATTGCACTTGCCACCCTTTCAGGAATTTTTAGAACCTTAATATTTGTAAAGTCTTTGAGATTTCCTCATAACATTTCTTCACACTTTACCAAGTTTCTAACTGTGGTGTTGGGTGTGGTGTCAGCAGAAGGCAGGGCAAGTACTTCACTTCCTATTTAGCAGTAACCTTTGTCTTCCCCTGTAAGTAATAACACTCATACCTGAGAACATAAATTGTCCTCTATTTTTTCCCCGCTCTTAAAACACAAGAAAGAAAAGCTATGCCTGTGGAGTGCACCGAAGGTAAAGTAAAACTTTGGTTGTGGGACAATTGAAAAATAAATGCATTGGCATGCTGGGATTCAGTGGCTGAAGGATCTATTATTAAAAGAGCATGTTCAATTTAGGGCTTTAGTTTAGTACTTTGCATGCCCTTTTGCTTTCTTGGGTCTAGTGCTATCGAAATAAACCAAACCCAGAGCTACTTTCTTTTTCTTTGCATCAGATTGAAAAGATATTTGGGTTCTGCATCATTCCTACATGCATGAAAATTTACGGAGGAAGAAATTTCTACAGACTTCTGTGAAGCATGAGGTGATTTAGGCACCCCAGCTAGGATCAGAAGTAATAGCCTTGTAAGAAGCCAAGCTGTATACATGCCACTGGCTGCTGATTCAGACCCCAGCTTACATTAGCATTGCTGCAGGCCTTTTAACTTGCCCCAGCTGATAATGGCTTGAGCAGGCAGAGACCTTTGGTACACAGGTGAACCATCCATGGTGGTGATGGCATGGAATTGACAGTACTGGTTTTAAGCCTGTGTAAGGTATATTTCCAGCTGGCCTACTAGGGAGGCGTCACTACTCCATGAAGTTGTACATGAGCCAGACCTTGACTATTCCAGTTATATGTTCTTTAGGAGATGCTCTGTGTAAACGAACACTTAAATAAAAATGTAAGCATGATTTTGCTTGAACCTTACCATTTGAGTCACCAGCCTTAGCAATTTTAAAAAATACATATATTTGTGGCAAATTCCTGTGTATACAGTACGGTATAATACAACATAATGCCATACAATATGTCTTACAGCACCCAAAGTAAAAGACCTCTGATATTCCTGTAATGTTCTTCCCAGTGCAGTACTTGAAATAAATACCTGCAGAAGGGCATGTGTCCAAAAGCTTGCAAAGAAAGATGATTTTTTTTGCTGTTTTCTAGTTGGTGTAATAAAAGGTATCACCTCTGTACCAAGAGTTTTAGAGTTTTGTATTACTGAAATAAATGAGTGCGATATCTGGCTCTTTAGCATCTTTTGAAAATTAGGATAGAAGGACTTTCCTTCCTTCATACATATGTACATATATTGGTTTTCTTTTGTGGATCTTCCCATTTTTTTAATGCTCTTAAAAACAAATCACTTATTACAGCATGCCGTTCTCCTATTTTTCTTTGTTTAAAGCTGCTTGCATGACTCTGGGATTAGATGGCTGAAACATAGACTGTTCTTTCCTTTTGGTATTTCTGTTTCTGTATTTTGATGTGAAAATTACTAGGGTTAGACACTAGTCTGATTTTTATTTTATTCTTTTTGTAATGGTGTGTGTTGAGGGAAATGGGAGGGGATATATTTACTGAAATACTTTCTTCTTTTTTTTAATAACTTGCTTGGGTTTGAGGACTTGCTATTTTAGACTCCAGCTTCTGTTAAACACAGCAGAGCTCTTTGTTATGAATTTTTCTTATTTTTGCTGGTTGTTTGTCAAATTTTGTAACTACTATTTTTGTGCATTTTTTACAGAAGAGCTAAGTGGTCTTGGAAAGCCTGGTAAGTAGCTTGCTTTAAAAAATTAACGGCTTTCTTTTCAGTTTTTTTTTATAGGAGAAACCATTTAAAACTAAATAGGCCTGAGTTGTAAAATTTAAAGTTGTGTGTCTGCATTATGTGGGCATGCTTAGAGTTGGGGTTTTGAGTTTGACACCTTGTTATAGTAAATGTTAACTGCTGCGCAAAGGGTATTTAAAATATAGAGTTTCAATTGCATTCATGGGAAGGTAATTTGAAAAACTACCATTTATATTGTTGCCAAATAGCCTGGTGCTACTTAACAACCTTTTTTGGCTTTCTATACTGGTTTTCATATTTGAAGTTTCATCATGATGCTAATTTCAGCTGGTTCTCTGCAGTTGGAATGACATCTTATCAAATTACAGTAAGGCTGCCAAGAGATTGCCGTAATCATTGAGATCATGATAGCTTGTAGAAATTAAAGTTGTGTGATGCTTGTGTTGGAAGGCCATGTCTGGAATCCCACTAGGAATTATTGCAGACACTGTTTTCCAAAATGCCACATCACAAGGGTCATACAATTTCTGTGCCAGGCGTCAAAGGCCATGCTTATTTTTGCCAAAGGTTGCTCTAGGCTCCAAAAGAATCAATCAGCAGAATTGTCTTAATTGATGGATGTTAATGGAAGTGGTGGGCATTTCATCCACCTGTTGTTTAGCACCGAATGTCTCTGCTAGCTCTGCCCTGCTACTGCTAGCAATGGAAAAAGAGTAAAATAATTCCTTACATGGCAAGTTCGCAGCTTGGAATATAGTGTATATTCCCCATTCATGTCTCTGGTTGATTCCTTGCAAATACAGCTGATTAAAAAGGTCATGTTTGGAAAGCGTGGTACTAAAATGTAAGATCCAAAACTGCTATGACTTTCTATGGGCATTTAAATTACAGTGCAAATCTTACCAGTGTACAGGAGGGCAGAGAGTTAAGGTAACAGCAGTTGTTCCTATTCCTGGATATTAAAAATGGGAAAAAAATCCCTCAAAGTTAGGTTATAAATAACACACCAAGAAATCACAGAGAGAGAACTGAAATAGGGCACTGCTTTATATTTAAAAGATTGTGCACACTTGTTTAATGTTCACAATTATATTTTAAAATGTTGATGATTGATTGGTACCTAATCGATCTCTCTCTCTCTCTCTCTTTCTCTCTCGTTAGTTGTTCAAGAACCGTCATGTGGCAGGCCTTCTGGTGAGTAGTTTCATATTCATGATGAGTACATATTTCTCATCTGCAGCTCACTTGTCTTTTGGTTAGTGAACTTTGGGAAGAGCACCAGTATTTCTGTGACTGGGGATAATGTCAGGCAATTCCTGTTCATAGTCCTTAATCCTTCTGTCTATGGTCTCAGTATGTACATTGGTAGAGTATTTGCATGCTCAGCCTATCTGAGATAGTGGCTGTAGTAAATAAAACTTTGGTTGCTTTTCTTTTGCATGGGACATTGAGTTATAAATCTGGTTGCAAGCACCAGGTACCTTACTATCTCTCCTATTGCTGCAATGTGGCATTATACAATCAAGTTGTGGAGAGGCAAATTAAGGTGCGATTCTTTATGAATGAGTGAATGAATGAATGAATGAATAACCAGTATATCAGCTACCCTGTAATGAGAGCCCATATGTCCATATGTCCATTCTTGCCCAACAGTAGCTTGCCCCACTGGCCCTGAGAGATTCAGTGCAGGTAAGAGCATGCACTTATTCAACAGTAGTGGACATTTGCAAGCTGACATCTTAGTTCCCTTAGGTAAGTTTATTTGTGTGCCAATGCATAAAAATCAGCATTTGTGTTTCAAGATCATAAGTGGAAAGAAGCTTTTTGGATAAGCCACGAAGCAATAAGAACAGGTGTTCTTCACTCAACACTGCTGTAAATAATACTTACTTATACTTAAAATGTAGTTATGTAACATCTGAACATGTTTGGAGTGTCATAGTATTTTGATACATTATTAAGTGAGGGGTTTTTTCCCCTCTTACTGATAAAGGTTCAGTATGTTTCCTAACTTTGTTGTGTGATTTACAGTCCTTAAATAGAAATTGTTCTACATGCTCTCTAGAGTAAGTCCAATAAACTGCCAAGAAATGAGACCCACACATTCATGGTTGTGTCTGGAGGCTCCTGAGTGCAAGGTGCTGTTGGTTCTGCAACTTGTACAGCTGCAACTTATAGGGCCCTGCCACACATTTAAATTAAAGCTGGATAGAAACCAGTTATAAAGTTGATACACATTTTCAAGCACTAACTTTTTAGCAGGTTGGCTCTTCTTAAAGCGGGATAAACATTTTTATGACACGATAATTACTTTGTATGCATGAACAGTCTAAATTTATTGTGCGAGTAAATGCATGACAATTAAATGCATGATAATTACTTTGCATGTGTGGCTGGTCTTAATTTACATGCATGGGCAGTCTGAATTCATTGTGCAATTAACCAATTAACTGCGTGATTTATGTAACGTGTGGCAAGGGCCCTAAGTAACACTCCTGGGCTTGCTCCAGAAGCCATATAGATATAGCCTAACAGGAAAAATAAAGGGAGTGAGGAGAGAGAATCTATAACAGGATTCTTTATAACATTTACAGAACTATTTGGCTGGCATGTCTTCTCTAAATTGAAACCATCCTCATAACTCATCTGTACATCCATCTCTGGGGAATATTTGTCTTGTAATAGTGCCTTTTGGGCTTTGTTTGAGGGCTCTTTAATTTGGGCTGAAAATCTCTGGGCAACAAGGAAAAAGCCATTTCTTCCCCTGCAAGTATTCCAAGTCACATACTAGTTCAGGGGAGGGTAAAATACAGCCTGTGGGGCTGGATCTGGCCCACCAGGTCATTCTGTCCGGTCTGTGGGGCCCGTAAAGTATTTAGAAAATTAATTATTGTCTTCCTGTGGCTGCCTGTCAAAGATGACAAGGCACCAGCAGCAGCAGAACCCAGGAGGAGTCAGTGCAGGTCCCAGCAGCGGAAGCAGCAAGGCCCTCCAGGCCCTGCCCCAGCCCTCAACCAGAAATTTCTGGCTAGAGGCTTCTGGCCTGGCAACCATGGGGCTGTTCCCCTGCCCTCCCTCCATCCGAGAGTAGAAACTCGGATAGGAACAGATGGAGGGCGGGTGGAAAGGAGGATCAGCAGCACAGCAGGAGCCAGCGTGGCTCAGCTGGCACCGCATGATTCCTCACTGGCTCCTGCTGCATTCTACAGCTGGGACCCGCACACTGCGGAGTGGCAGGTGGGCTAGGAGGGGGAGCGGTGGCAGCAGGCAGGGTAGGGAGGGAAGTGCCTGGGGAGTGGCAGCAAAGGCAGGCGGGATAGGGTAAAGTGACTGCGAACAGACAGGTGGGAGCATGGGGCCTGGGGCAGGGCCAGTGGCAGCAGAAGCCAACTGGGAACCATGGGGTCTGGGCTAGCTCCTGCTGCATTCTGCAGTCCCAACTATGCAACTGGAAACTGCACGCTGCTGGGACGTGCCCAGCTGGGCCAGCTGGCTCCATGCCAGGCCACGTGGATCCTGGCTGCAATGCTGGGACCAGCATGGTACGGCATAGAGCTGGCCCGGCCCGGCCCAGCAGCACCAGGACCCTCACGACACAGAGCTGGGCAGCAGCGCTCAGTTTCCGTGCCATTGAGCCAGGATGGGATGGGCCAGGCTGGCTCTGTGTGGGTCCTGGCATTACAACCAGGATCCATGCAGCGTGGCATGGAGCCAGTCAGGCACCTCCTGGAGCTATGTGTTTTCCAGCAGTCTGGCATGGAGCCAACCCGGCTCAGCCCAGTTCCTCCAGGCACCATGCATTTCCTGGCTGCAACGCCAACATTGAACCAGATTCTTTTGCTGCCTTGCATTAGTTTTGCCTCAGACTCATAGAAGCTAAGGCAAAACCAGCTGTGGAGGAGGAGTAGAATTTCCCTCCGTTCCCTGGGCTATTCCTGAGATTCACAGCAGCTAAGGCAAGGGGTTAGGGAGTGGAAGAATTCCCCTCAACTCCCTGGGGCTGCCCAGGGCTGAGGCACCCTGGGCTGGGGTGGGGGGAATCCCCCCCAAGGTAGGGGCTCCCCAGTGCCCCCATGCTGGGTTGCACAAGCAGGCACCCAGCCTAGACGACGACTTCTCCCTGCCTCTTGTGGCAGCCACTGAAGCAATCAGCAGCTGGGAATAGGGAGGAGGGGGATTCCCCTCAGCTCCCCAGGCTACTTGGGTTGGGGAAACCAGGCTGGGGGAAACCTCCTGAGGGCTAGGGTCCCCTAAGATGAGTTGTTTGACAAGCTTTAGTTCAAGTGCCCCGCCACTTTTTAAGCACAGGGACAAAATTTACAAAATATGGGAGGCTGCTGGAACACAGTAATTGCTATATTATGACAGACTCAATTAAATGAGTCTGCTCCCATGCACTGTAATTACTAAGCCTGTGCAAAGCTTTGGTTGCTGATTCAATTCAGAGGCGATTTGGCCTGATTCGGCAGCCGAATCTCTGAATCCGAATTGAATCAGGAGACCCGTTAATCTCTCCAAATCGAATCGGAAACCTCTGATTTGATTTGGAGAAATTTGACAATTCGGACATAGACACAGCTTTATATGCTTTTTTTCTACATACCTCAAGGTACCAGGTGGCTCATGAACGCTGAGATGGTGGTGCAGATGAAGCAACCCACGGGAGCGTGGCAGGGTCCCCAGCGTGCTCGGCGGTGGACCTGAAAGTGGACCAGAAGCACTGGCCCCCCCAGCTTAGCGACTGGTGCCTCCTGGGTCTGGGGGGGGCACCCAGGGTCCCCTTCAGCTGATTGCTGAGCCAGGGAGGCACGGGAGGGCCCCCTACGTGCTCGGTGGCGGGCCCAGAAGTGAACCAGAAGTACTTCCGGTCCACTTCTGGGTCTGCCGCAGAGCACAGGCCCCACCCCCCGCACTCCTGTGGGATACTCCATCTGCCCCACCATCTAAGTGTTCATAAGCCACGCCTGGTCCTTCGAGGTATGTGGAAAAAACATATAAAGCTGTGTCTATGGCTGAATCGCTGATTCTCTGAATCAGAATTAAATCTTCAGATTCAGATTCAGCCAAATCAAATCAGGACAGTGATCTGAATCAGCAAATCAAATCACTGTCCTCCGAATCAGGCCAAATCTGAATTGAATACTGCGTGCTTCACACACCCCTAGTAATTACAGTGTCAGAGTAATTACAGTGCGTCAGAACAGCCTCTGTGCTCATGTACAGGCACCCTCACATTGGAGGTACTAAATTTAATGCACTTTAGAAAAGGTGCATTAATGCACGTGTAGAAGCGCCCTGAATTCCTAAAGTGTATTGAGCAGTGCCTTTGAAGCTGAGTTTCATTTTGTTTTTTATCACCCAAAAGGAATTTCTCATTCTATTGCTTAACTCCTAAGAGTTGACTTTTGTTTGAGACGATCTGAACCTGTACTGAAAGAATTCCACTAGGACTGATTCTTTCTTTAGCTATTAATCTCCTTTTGTGAAGTGAATAACCATTGACCTCAACAATCAAAGGTCAAAACATGTTTGTAATGCAACAAAGTGTAAGCTTTTGCATGATGACAAGTTTCCCTGCCTTGGGAAAGGTCATTACAGAGAGAGGTCTGTTGCTGCTCTACCTTGAGCTAGTTATTTTATACAAAAGAGACCACATACTGAAAGTGGAATGTGTCTGACAGTCTGACTTCCAGATTAGGATTAAATGTATTACCTCATAAGGGGTATGCTTTTTCCTGTTAAGAAAATCTTAGAAACATAGTAGTCATAGTGAGCACAAATTCTTTCACATCATGTGGGATTGAATGATTTCTGGCCAAGTATGTTAGCCTTGCAGCTACAGTTCACTGTAGTGTGATTTATTTATTTATTTTGTTGAGGCTGTGGACACACAAATACTCGTGACATTTATAGATGAACTCCAGGAGTGCAGGGGGCTGGGTGCTTTAATTAAAGCAATTGGAGCATCACATATATCAGTATCCCTGCACTGAAAAATGGCGGCGGGGGCACTTTAACTAAAGCTTGTAGAACTAGCTTTAGTTCAAGTGCCCTTCCTTCATTTTTCAGCACAAGGATGCTGATACATGTGATGCTGGAGTCTGGAGTGCGGTAATTACCACGCTTCAGTAGACTTGATTAATCGTGCAATTTACAGCGCATCAGAGCAGCTTTGTTACATTTGATTCATTCTC